CCTGCTGTTTTTCAGTATCTGCCCTCATAAGCTTATCATGAGAATCAAAGAAATATGAAAAAAAAAGAGAAAAGCAATAACATTTAAGTTTCTTGACATTTCTAGGAATTGGGAGACAGCTTAGTGTAGGTGTGGAAGTCTGAATACCCGAGTAATAGCTTTTGCTCTGTCATTGATTGTGATCTTATCCAAATACATTGAACTGGATCTTAGTTTCTTCATCTATAATATAAAAGCTTGGATGCAATCTATGTGGTTATTTCTGACTTTACATTAGTGATAGTAATTGAATGAATATTAGTGAAAATGTTTATTGGCTTACTGGTAAAATGTCATATATTTATAGGTATATATGTATGTCTATACATATACAGTTGATCCTCATTATTCATGGTAGTTTTGTTCTGTAAAGCCATCACAAACACTTAGCAAACCCTGACCTATCTCTCCTAAGGGTAACGCAGGTTTAGGTTCCTATAAGCCTCTGGCTACAACATTTTTGTCAGCTGCTCAATACATAGCCTTGTTTTATGTGCATTTCTGTTTAGAGACACCTTATTTAATATATATTGTTTATTCATTACACTGAACTCACAGCCAACAGTACTATGACTCATGCCTGAATGAAGCTTATCTAACACACGTTTCTCTGTAAGGCACATCAGAGCATTTTTGTGCTTAGGAACACTAGGTGGTGCTTTGGCGATATGCTTGGGGGCCATTTTTTTAAAAAAATAATTAATTTATTTGTTTTTATTTTTGGCCGTATTGGGTCTTCGTTGCTGCATGGGCTTTCTCTAATGGCAGCGAGTGGGAGCAACTCTTTCTTGTGGTGTGCGGGCTTCTCACTGCGGTGGCTTCTCTTGTTGCGGAGCACCGGCTCTAGGTGCGCGGGCTCAGTAGTTGTGGCTCGTGGGCTCTAGAGTGCAGGCTCAGCAGTTGTGGCGCATGGGCTTAGTTGCTCCGCGGCATGTGGGATCTTCCCGGACCAGGGCTCGAACCCGTGTCCCCTGCATTGGCAGGCAGATTCTTAGCCACTGCGCCACCAGGGAAGCCCCATGGGGGCCATTTTTAACAGTGTTGTGGCGGGAGATGCACAAAAATGCAAAAAACATGGCAATAAATAGACCATGAAAAGGTCACTTGTTTACAGTGTGAGAGTTGAAACAAGAAGGCAGAATGTCTCTTTGTTCAACCTCAGCTGGGAACATGTGCCTCCAGCAACTTAAATTTTTTGCTGCTCTGCACATGTATGTCTGCGAATGACCCCCCAAACACCATAATTATTGATTTTGAGGTTACAAACACATTTTAGTGAGTAGGCAGATTCACAAACACAGAATCCACAAAAATGAGGGTCGACTGTATTTATGTGTATATACATTAAACTATCCATAATAAACCCATGAGGATTAAATGTGATGTTATATGGGCATACAGTAAAATAATAATAAGTGCTATATATAAAGTATTAATTATTTGCATTAGATGAATCCAGATAATCCCAGTGTCTGAAATGGAATTAAAGTAGGAGCTTGTCTGGTCTTTAGTCCAGTGGTCTCTGTTACAGCCCTCCTTTCCCTCTGCCTTATTACCAGAACGGTTTGTTCTCTCTTCAGTGTGAGTAGTCTTGCAAGACCTGCTTTTCCTGAGCCTCCCAGGAGAGCTTTAAACTTTTTGGGCGTCTCTTGTTTTGGTGGGAAGAGAAAGGCAAGTCCTTTATTTGGACGAGTTGTCTCTGTGCCTGGAGCCTTGTTCTTTAGAAGCACTCTGTGGACAAGACAGAAAGGCCATTTCAGATAGCACTGTGAGAGTTATGGAAAAACTTACCAGAAATACTCTCATTTCTCCTAATCTGTGAAGTTTTCAATGTATAACTGCATAAACAGTTGTTTGTTAAGTGTATCTCATGGATAAAGTTGATTGTACCCACCATAGCACAGTTCTCATCTTAGATTTTACGAAGTAAAACCAACTCCTCTCTAATGGGGTTTTAAAGGTTATACCTGGCTTTCTTCATGAGGAGCTTTTCAGAATCTGGATAATGCACTAGAATTTCTTGGAGGGTCCTTTTGTCCAGAGTTAAAAGATTGGCAAAGCCATGGGCCACCACGTTGGCAGTTCTACGGTTTCCTCCTCTTGCTGCTAGAAGGCTGTAAGAGAGAAAAATGAATCTTTGCCACCAGTTTCAATCTTCCTCCACCAAAATCTTAAAAAAAAAAAAAAATCAAATATTAGAACCATTTATACTGCTTCAGAGATCATTCCCTGGATGTGAGAGTTCAGATGAGTGTGCAGAGAGAGTCAAGATGTGGTGACAATAGAAGTGGCAACAGATTTCAATGCATTTTGCATCTAACTCCCACCTCAAATCAAGGTCTTGTAGCCATCAGAGACCTGGGAGATTCTTCCTCCCAGATTCCAGAAGTGTAGACTCTTTTTGGACTGGGTGTCCTCCATTTGCTCTTTCAGACTAACTTTTCATCCTTCCCCATCCTCTTTGCACTCCAGGAAGCTGACCTCTGTGGGCTTGCTCTCTGATTTTCATTTGGGTTCAGCCAATGGGAAATACCAGTAGGAAGTCAGAAAGCAGGAAGAGAGTGGGGTTGGCCTGTTTCTTCCCCCATTCTTCCCTGCCAGGCCTTAGGTTAGCAATGGCTGCAGTTTCTACCAAAATCCACAGCTCCTGGCCATCTCCTGGAAGTACAACTCCCACAGACTTCTTTCTGGGCTCTGGTAATGTGCCCTGCCCTTGTCCCCTTGAGGCCTGGCTGTGGAAACAGCTCCCTTGTAGCTAGCTTCGAGATGTATCACCATCTCTTGTTGGGTAGTCTTAGATTTTCCTTCTAATTTCCTTTGATTGACTTCTGTCAGTAATCCCTTTATTAAAGTCTTCTTAGTTAACTTACTTAAGTGTACCTTCAGTTTTTTGTCTGGACTCTGACAGATCAAGCTCTGACATCAAATCTTAATGATACCCTGGTTACATTAGGTGAATTTAATCTCTTCCTATATGTAACTCCCAGATCAAATTTTTTCTCAGTATCATAAATTGCTCTGTAGTATAGTCATTCTCATACAACTTCCCACTTGGAATGTCAGAGAATTCTGGACTTTATATCTCTCAGGGACATAGCTGGGGCATTTTGCGTTTGGGAAGTAACCAATAAATAGTTATAAAATAAATGAACCCTCGAGTGAATAAAACAAATGAATATAACTTCTGTCATTCACCAATAATCTGGAAAATAAAGGTTGGTCTTTGAAAGCAAGACAAGAAAAAACACATTTCAAATGTTTAAAAAAAAACACTACAGGCTCTGCAGTGAGATGGTAACACGAGATTCAGTCTCTCAGAGTCAACCATTTAGAAATGGAGAAAGAAGGCTCACATTAATGAAAACAATCTCCAGAGGTGGAAGGGACTGAGAAAGCATTCTGGCAATAGGAATGTTCACGTTTTCACAGCCCTGCCTTTGGGGGCAATGAGATGTGAGAAGCTGCATGGGTGCTGTGCCTGAAGATTGATATCAGACCATGTGTATTTCTCCAGCCGTTGTTGCAGAAAAGGGAACATTTTCGCTGGCTGTTAATCATTAAAAAACTAACATAGGGTTTCAGCTCTGACATGTAAAGAGCTTGGAAGTTGTCACTCCTGTCCTTACAACACGAAAAAGTTGAACAAACTGAAAACCAATGACTTTTCTCGGAACTGTCAAAGAACTGAAGTTGCAGGGTCAACTCCCATCCAAATCTGGGGAGACGGGTGAATCCAGAAAGCCACAGCCAAACCTGCTTACCTGGAACAGAAGCCCTTGGAGCTGTAACTGGTAGGAATACCTAAATGGTAATTTCGACAAATTGCTGTACGTTGAGAGTAAACTATCAAGAGAGGGAGAAACTCTGAGGGCCACAATTATGGGGAAACTGATACTTTTATAGGTTTTACCTTAAGAAACTTTAGCAGATTCTCATGGTTGAGAGCCAAGAAAGATCTGCTTGTTGCTCTGGCAGTAGAAGGGGATAATTAATCATTGTAAAATATACCCAGAATATATTTGTTCTCCATTACAAAGGTCTGCTATCCAGGGGAAAAGATTACCAGAGTCTTATCCTACCTGGAGGAAGGGCATTTCTCTCACCCCAGGCACCTCTGGCCTTCCTGCCTAAGGGGATAAGAAACACCTGTGAAGATCGCACCCCAGGGACGTAGATCCATTAAAAGACTTAGATTTAATCATAAAGTTAGAGCTTTCCCCCATACCTTAGCACTATACCAAAGGGGCTTCTGTATGGTAACATTGGGTTATAACTGCAAAATGCAGACTTTCTCTGAAGAGCAGTACTGAGGGAAGGCCAAAGTCAACAGAGGAGATAGAAACAAAGTCACTAGAGAAATTTAAAAGCTCTAGCACCTACAGCTACAGCAAACATTAAACACAGCCCAACTCCTAGCCAGATTAATATAAAACATCATTCTAAAGACCTGTTTACCTCGGTTCCTACTACCCATTACGTCATGTACAGCTTTCAACAAAAATTACAAAGTACACTAAAAAGCAAGTAAAATACAGCCTGAAGAGCTAAAGAAAGCATTAGAACCAGACTGAGGTATGACACAGATGTTGGAATTATCAGACAGAGAATTTAAAATAACTATGATTAATATGTTAGAAGATCTATTGGAAAAAGTAGGCATCATACAAGAACAGATGGGTAATGTAAGCAGAGAGATAGAAATTCTAAGACAGATTCAAAAGGAAATGTTAGAAATAAAAAATGCTATAACAGGGCTTCCCTGGTGGCACAGTGGTTGAGAGTCCACCTGCCGATGCAGGGGACACGGGTCGTGCCCCGGTCCAGGAAGATCCCACATGCTGCAGAGCGGCTGGGCCCGTGAGCCATGGCCGCTGAGCCTGCGTGTCTGGAGGCTGTGCTCCGCAACGGGAGAGGCCACAACAGTGAGAGGCCCGCATACCTCAAAAAAAAAAAATACTATAACAGAAATGAATACTGACTTTAATGGGCTCATCAGTAGACTGGGCATGGCCAAGAAAAGAATAGATGAGCTTGAAGATAGGTAGTAGAAAGTTCCCAAATTGAATGCAAAAAGAAAAAAAGGAATGAAAAAAAGTAAACCAAAAATCCAACCAGAACAGAACATCAAGAACTGCAGGACATTTTCAAAAGGTATTATATATATATGATATATACATAAACATACATCATTCTCTAGTATTAGAAGAACCACCTGAAGTAATAATGGCCAAGAACTTTTCCAAATTAATGACAGACAGCAAATCACAGATCCGGGAAGCTCAGAGAATACCAAGCAGAATAAATACTCCCCCACCCCCATTCCTAGGCACATCATATTCAAAGTGTAAAAACTAAAAAAGAAAATCTTGAAAAGAGCTGAGGGGGGAAAAAAGCCATACATATAAAGGAACAGGAATAAGACTTATAGTGGACTTTTCATCAGAAACACTGCAAATAAGAAGAGAGTGGAGTGAAATACCAAGTGTTGAGAAAAACAAAATCACCAACCTAGAATCCTATGTATAGTGAAGTTACCCTTCAAAAGTGAAGGAGAGATGAAGATTTTCTCAGAAAACCAAAAACTGAGGGACTTTAACATTAGCAGACATACCCTTAAAGATATTGAGAGAAATTCTTCGGGAAGAAGGAAAATGATACATATTAAAAATTTAGGTCTACCTAAAGAGTGAAAGACGTGGGAGAAGGAATAAGCAGAGGTAAAACGAAAGTCTTTTATTTTCCTTATTCTTAATTGATCTAAAATATGACTTTAAATAATAAACTAACACTGCATTGGGTGATTGTAGCATATGGATAAGTGACATGAATGATATCAGTGTCTTAAGGGTTGGTAGGAAGGGCTGTTATAATGTTCCTGCACTATGTGTGAAGTGGTATAATGTGAAGGTAAACTTAGTTTAAAATGTGTATGGCAAACACTGAAGTTTTTTGAAAAGAATTATAATTGATAAACTAAGAGAAAAGAGAAAATGGAATCTCCTTTCCTGAGGTTCTCCCCAATACAAGCTCTGCCTTTGTCCTTTTTTTTAAGTAAGAGAAATAAATTTTACTCTGTCATTCATCCATCCATCCATCTATCTATCTACCTACCTACCTATCTTCCTGCCTATCTATGTATGAAATGGATGTTAATATTTGAAGGACAATGATTGGATGAGCCTATTTCATTCACATTCCTGTCGCCTTGGACATAGGGCAATCCAGTAGTTAGGCAGGGCTGGATGGCACTGGGGAGCTTAATTTGGACCTGAGACTGTCTCTGTGTGTGTCAGACTATGAGAGCAGAACGGAAATAACATATTTAAATGTCAAGTTATTTTGAGATTTCTCAAGCTTTAATTAAACTTGCCTACAGGTTACACATTTGGAGTGCTTGATGAGTTTTTGAACGGAAGAAATAGTCTGTCTGCCAGATGGATTTTGCCCAAACTCTCTCAGCAGTGTTTAAAATAGCATCGTTTTTTTCCCTCCTGTCCACAAAATGCTTCTCCAGCATTTCACCAATGGAAAGTTTCACTCATTAAATAGCTTAGTAAGAAGATCCCTAAATATTCCCAAGCCCACATAGTTTCTGAAAGAGCACGTGCTGAGGACAAACAGCCGAGGTTAATGGTAAGTGTCCCCAGGTCAAAAATACTGAACAGAGCAATGGCCCAGGAAACAAGGGAATGGATTCTAATTCTAGGTCCACCTTTGTTTGCTGTGACCTTAAAAAAGAACTTAAGGACCTTTTAGATTTTTACTCCAATCATGTATTTATTAAGTGCCTATCATGTATTCAGCAGGTAAAGTAGTGCAAAAAGAAAAATAGTAAAGCATGGTATGGTTTGTGGAAAGAGTACAGGTTTTGGAACCAGATAACTCTACCATTTTATTTATTTATTTATTTATTTATTTATAATGTTTAATTTAAAAGAATTTAAATTGAACTATAGTTGAAATCTACCATTTATTAAGTGTATTTCTGAGCAAGATACTTAATCTCTCTTTTGGGTTAACAAGACCACCTTTTAGTACCTTCTGTACTATAGGTATCTGATTATCTTTAGGGAGAGATAGGTGTTTACAGACCCCTGACATTCAATTATGAAGG